GGAGAAGGACGAGGAGGAGGAGGAGGAGGAGGAGGGAGGAGAAGGAGGAGGAGGAGGAGGAGGAGGAGATGAGCAGGCGCAGGAGGAGGGGAGGAGGAGGAGGAGGAGGAGGAGGAGAGGAGGAGTTGGAAAGAGGAGGGTGATCATGACAAGAGGAAGAGAATGCCGGATGAGGTGAGGGATGATGACGAGGAGGAGGAGGGAGGAGGAGGAGGAGGAAAAGCAGCAGGAGGGAGGAGGAGGAGGAGGCGAAGGAGGAGGGTAAGCAGGAGGAGGAGGAGGAGGAAGAGGAGGAGGAGGAGGAGGAGGAGGAGGAGGAGGAGGAGGGGGGGGAGGAGGAGGAGGAGGAGGAGCGGTCATCAACGGCTGGCAGGCCTGAATAGCCAGGCCGGCCCCGTCATGACTTTGCGGCAACTCCCGAGCAGAGCGGGGTCGCCGCCCTTGGACTTGTGCTTCTGCAGTTGCTTCTGCTCCTCCTCCTCCTCCTCGCCCGCGCCCAGAGCGGCAGCGTTTCGATCCCCCAAACATGCACGCCGAAATCTCAAAGCGAAGTCCGGGCCCGCGGCTCCAGAGGGACGAGTCCGACACCCCAGGCGGTCAATACCTGTGGGTTCCGACCCATATCAGCGATCTGATGCCACCCGAGTCTCGTGCACCTTAGCAGCTCTGTCACGACCCCGAAGCTTCGCCTCGGCAACCCTGGTTCCGCGCGGACTGGGCCCGCACAACTCTATGTCGGGGGCCACTGCAAGGAGGAACTGCTGGACTTTCCAAGGCAGCGGCACCTTCACTACCCTCTGCTTCGAGGGAAGGGCGTCTCGATGGAGCCGTCCTCATACCAATGTGCTGGGCCGCCCACGGACCGGTGTCATCCCGAACTGGCTCAACCGCACGTCTCAGCGAGCCGGCCACTACCATACTGTCAATCAATCGCTCGCCGCCTGGATGGTTACCTGCCCATGCCAACTGCCCTTCAACGTATCCGTCGAAGCCCGTGGGGCCCATATCAACGAGTGTCATGTATCGTCCTCGCCTCCTCCCTCCTTCTCTCCTCGCATTGTCGTGCCGCGTTGTTGTTCCAAACTGTCAGGTCTTTTCTTGTACGCCAGGACGCTCGGCGAGAGTGTGCAGTGGCTCCCGTGCCCTGTTCCCCCTCCTGCTGCTCCCTTCTTGCCCTTCGTGTCTGTGCTTCCACCGTTTCTGCAGCTGCTGGCGCGTGCCTGTCCCAGTTTTGCTTCTGATCCTCCCCGCTGGAGGTTCTTTGTAGCGGCCTCCAGGCGTCGGCCTCCTCGTCGCCCGGCGGGCAGGTGGGCCGTGGCGCCGGCGTCAAGCCAGGCTCGCCGGGCTCGCCTGCCGGGCGCTTCGCCTCGCAGTGTCCTGCGCACCGTCGGCCCTCGGCCCCGTCGTTGCGGCGCTTTTTAGGCCTGGCGCGCAGCCTTGCCATGGGGTGCCTTTGCAACTTGGTTCAAATCGGGCCTGCCACTCCACAGGGGGAATATTCAAAAATAACTTTGAAAAATAATCAGGCGATAATTTTTTGATTATCTTTGAGCATTTTGGGGGTGTTTTTGGAATACTTTTAAGTTTTCGCCCAAAATCCCCCTGTAGGGGGACATACCCAACCTAAAACTTGGTAGTTTGTGCTTGCCTATTGTGTGCTGTGCCGACCCTCAGGGTTTGGTGCCTCTGCTCTGGCATTGCGGCCTTCTGCGCACGCCGCCGCGCTCTCTCTTCTCGCTTTGCACCGCCTTCTTTCCTGCTCCTCATCCTGCTTCCCCCTCTTGCGCGACACCAGCATGGGAGCTTTTCTTGTCATCTGCGGCTTCGCGCCGTCTTCACTCTGGACCGTATCGATTATTCACTTGGTTGCCGCAGTGTGAGGCTCAGTATTGTGGTGGTCGGTCGGTTCCAGTCGTTGGCACACTCCTCGCACCGTGGTGCGATTTGCGTTCTCCCTTTGGCCGCCACGACTCCTGGTACACGCTGCCGGGGTTTGCGCATCCGAGTTCCCCTCTTTCCTCCCCCCTCCTGCTCCGTCGCCCCCTCCCCCTCCTCCTCCTCCTCCTCCTCGTCCTCCTCCTCCTCCTCCTCCTCCTCCTCCTCCTCCTCCTCCTCCTCCCTCTCCTCCTCCTCCTCCTCCTCCTCCTCCTCCTCCTCCTCCTCCTCCGTCTCCCCCTCTGCGATGTCATTGTGCACTGTTCTGCATAATCTCAGTGGCCATTGCGACCGCAGGAGATAGCCGCACAGCGCCCATTAGTTACCCTTCCTCCTCGTACCCTCTCCTCCCCCCCTCCTCCTCGAGCCGGCCGAGTCTCACGATCCGAGTGGCAGTGCGATCGGATTCGCAGCACGAGCTGACGGGTGAGATATGCGAGGCTGGATACTGGGTGCGCTTCGTCCTCAGCCATGATCATGAACGGTGCGCCCTTGAGGCGTAGGTAGGCCCCGATCTCGCTCAACAGTGAGAGCTTGGGCTCCGCCATGCCCACTCCCACCGCGAAGTAGGCCGCCATGACAGCAATGCTAACACCCTGGAAGCACACCCACTGCACCGCCCACTGACTTGGGAGCGCTGCCAGGTGGCACGTTGCCAGGGTAGAGAAGCTTGGCTTCGTCGGCGGGCGTGGCGACGTGCAAGCTTGACTTGCTGAAGACTGCCAAACCGCCACGCCCCCGCGGGCCTCTGTTGATCGTCGGCTGGGCCCTGACCATCTTGCCCTTCCAGGGTACCTTTTGCAATCGCTTGTCGGCCTCCGTTACTTTTTGGCCCAGGCAGGTGGACCTCCGCATCATCGCGAAGAGCTGTGCCGTGCATGCGTCCTCTTCTGCCTGGGCCTGGTCCTATCTGGTTTTCGGCACGTGCAGTGCTCCAGTCTCTGATCTGCTCCCTCTCCTTGTCCCCGAACCTGGTGACGTTGGTGAGGTGAAAGCTGAAGTCATTGCGAGCCTCGCCTGGAAGCCGGCTGCTACTCCTTCGGGCATTCTCGCGGCCTTGGATTCAGCACGTGGCGACGTGAGCCCCGACCCGATTCGAGCTCCAGCCCTCGGCGACCCAAGCCCTGGCCCGTGGCCGTCCAGCAGAGGCCCCAGGCGATGCTGGGCAGTGAGCGGTGCGTGCCCCGTTGGGGTCGGTACCCTCTGCTACCCATTCATGACAGTTCTGCGTTACCTGACTTCGTGGCTCAGTATCGTTTGACCGACCCTCATCCCCATCCTTTTCCCCTTCGAGACCCCCACCAAATTACCACCCCGGTTGGGGATATACCCCTCGAAACCCGAAGGGAACGGCCTATATCTCCACCTAGGGGGGTAAATCGGCCAGTGGTGCCCAGGACATGCCGCTGGGGATGGGGATCGGATAAACGATGCTCAGTGGCTGAGCCAGTCGCCTCCCCCCGTGCTCGAACGTGGCTCTCACGTAGCACCCGCGGTCTTTAAAGCCGGCCTCCCTGAGCGCGTATACAGGGAGACAGGGGAGACGAGGGGTCTGCCGTTGGCGCCGTCGCCTGCCACGAAGCGCCTGCCACCGCCGTACTCGTTCGTGAGTCGTAGGGGTCCACCGGTCTGCCGGCTCGCCATCGTCATCTAGGATAAGTGCTGGCGGGTCGCCTTGACCTCCATCCATCGTCTCGTCCCTCTCGTCGAGGGCCACCTGCACCACGGACGCGAACTGTTTCATCAACCTATCGCCTTGCCATAGGCTCCGGGGGCCACCCTCGCTTCGCTCGTTTGCACTCCTCTTGTTGCAGCTTGTCATGGCGAGTTCGCTTCTCTCCGTGGCTGGCTCCGATCAGAGCGTCGATGTCAGCATCTTCGGGTTCTGCCGTATCATGATCTGCTCCGGGTGCGCTTGCCCCCCCCTGAGCCACGAGCGCCAGGACCAGGGGCGGCATTGCCCGTCCGACTCCCGTTCTCCTCGACCTTCTCCTGGTACCGTTTCCCCCTCCGTCCTCTTCGAAGTCCTCCTCGCGGTCGTAGAAACGAAGCTCGTCCGGCAACGTTTCGACCAGGTCCCTTTTTGGCTGGAAGACGCCAATGCCCACCTTGGCCTTGGCCATCCGCTCGTCGAGCTTCTTGATGCCTGCCTCGGCCTCGAATATCGCATTCTCTGCCTCTGTCTTCTCCTGAACTGTCGCTGTCTCTCTCTCTCTCTTCTCAAGCTCAGCCTCCTGCTCCTGTAGCAAGTCTGAACCAGTGTGCAGTGCCGAGTACTCGGGCTGGCCGCAATCGTCTGTGCTCAAGCGGCTTTTCGAGGCGGCGGATGGGAGATGTCGGCTGGCTGAAGGATTGCAGAAAAACGAAGGATTGCAAAAAAGAAGGATTGCAAAAAAACCTTCGTTGAACGAAGGATTGCAAAAAAACCCTTCGTTGCAATCCTTCGTTCACCAGCGAGGGGGTCCCAAGGTCGGCGCGGCCGGCGCTCTCCTCGGCGGGCTCCGGGAGGCCCTCACGGGGTGAGCCCCTGCGCGCTCGCCCTCTCGACCTCGGCCACAACGCGTGCCTGGGCACGCAAGGGCAGGCCGTGGCGACCCCCCGGTGCCGCTCGCTGCGGGCCGTGGCGGGCGGCGTGCTCGCCTTCTCTGCTGGGGCTGCTGCTGGTCCTGGCGACGCAGGCGCTCTGCTGCTCCTGCTACACGTGACCTGCCGGTTCCTCGGGGGGGGGCGGCGGTCGCGCTCCGGCAGCCGGCGCCTCGAGGGGAGCCCGTGCCGACTGAGGCGCCTGCTCCTCCCGCCGTCGCCAAGGGGGTCGACGGGGCCGTCAAAAGGCAGAGGTCGTTGGGGTGCAAGCCAGGGGACGTAGTGTTCGTCAACTACGGCGTGGCGGGGGAACCTTGGCATGAGCGACTCGTGCTGGCCGTGGTGGATCACTGCACCTACATCGTGATGACCCCGGATGGGGATATCTTCGCGGAGACGTTCAGCAAGGAGTACCTGGACGATTTCAGGCCGGGCGGCCCCCGGGGGGGTTGCCCGCGGGGCTGGGCGCGGCGCGCGGCCAGCCTGTGTACCGGTTCGACCAGCGCCCGGTCGGTCCGGAGCTGAAGGATTTGATCGAGGAGGGCCGCGTGAAGGCGGCCGAGGAGAGGCGCGTGCTGGGCCTGGCCACCGACGAGCCGGAGCCCCCAACGCTGCTGGGCGATGCCGCGGCCGTGGCTGCGGTGCCCGAGGCGGGCGCGCCGGACGCTGCGACAGGCTCGGAGATCTACAGCTGGGTCTGCGTCGTGCGCTCGGCGGCCGTGGAGGTGGGCCGCGTGTTCCAGTTTGCGGAGAGGCACACCACGCCGTCGGACAGGTTCGTGAGTTATGGCCCCCTTGGCCTGTATGATGTGGGCAACGCGGGTGGCCTGGCCGTCATGCGCAGGCTCGAGACCAGCGACAAGAAGGATGACGTGATCGTGGCCTTCGCCCTGCAGGTGGGGGACGCGGCCGAGGAGAAGGGGACTGCTATCCCAACGGGTTCAGCCGGGGCTGCTGCGAGCTCCGACGATGCCCGCACCCTGCTCATCGTGCGGGACCCAAGGGGCAAGCGATTCAGGGATCTGAAGAGCGTGGCGAGCGCCTCCGACCAGTCTAGCTTCGACGACTGGATCCTGGAGGGCCCGAGGACGACCTTGTACGTGATAAAGGAGATGGCGAAGCTGGCGGGTGGCCCGGTCCAGCGCCATCAGACATGGAAGCATGAGAACAAGTTGCAGCAGGATGAGCACTCGGCTGTGAGTCACGAGATGCTGTCAGAGATCCTGGAGTTGGCCACCACCTTTGACCAGCTGGACGTCTCGAACCTGGCGTGCATGGAGTGCCTGTGTCGCCACGCCCAGTACATTGAGCAGCGTGTGAAGAAGAAGCGAGAGTCGGGCAAGGACTTCGACTCCCAGGATTACTACCTCGGGCGCTCGAGGCGCACAGGCGGTGCCATCATTAGTCCGGAGTTGCTGAAGTGGGTCGCGGAGTCGGCAGCCCGTGACTCGGTCATCTTGAAGGAAGAAAGGAAGGCAGCGGAGGAGCGCGCGCTGGCTCGCGCTCCCAAGAAGTCATGATGGTGAACGGGGCTGGGGGTTGGCCGTCCCTGGCCCAAGCACAAGGCCGCGAGGTGGAGAGGATTGTGCCTCGGGACCTGTTCCCTTTGCCCGAGGTGCCGGTGCCCTCTCCCGCTCATCGCCGAGGTCCGCGCCGAGCTGCCCAGCGCCTGGGCAGGAAGGTGGCCGTCGGCCAGCGCTCGAACGACTGCATAGCCGCCCCCAACAACCTTTACGGGGCCGGCTCTTTTTTGCCTGAGTGCAGACCGTCTCAGGCGCAGTTTTCAACGATCAACAGTATTTGGCGTGCGGTCGCGGAGGACAGTCCGCCGGAGATGTCGCTCACCCCGAGGCAGCCCTAATGGAGTTGCTCGGTACCGAGGCCCTCGACTGCGCGTCCGAGGTCCTCTCCGTGGTTGCGCCGTATGATCATGGCTTGGTCTCGTGGCCGGACACCGCAGGCTCGGTTGACTTGCTGGACGTGTTGCCAGACCCTGACCGCCAGGAGGTGATCGACGGACCTCGGTCTCTTTTGCTTCGAACTGACGAGGTGCCCCCTGCAAGCTGCAAAGTTTACTGGGATAAGACCCTTCGCGCGGACAAGGATGAGTATGTTCGGTTCGTTCAGGACTTGCTGGACAGGGGCATGGTGGAGCTCCGTGCTCATCGAGATTTTGAAATGGGTGTATTCTTTGTGCGAAAGAAGTCAGGCCGCCTACGCTTGATAGTGGATGCTCGTGCTGCGAATCAGAGTCTTAAGAGCCGTGCCTCCATCCAGCTGGCTTCGACCGCGGCGATCGTGGGGCTGGAGGCGGAGCCGGGCGATAAGCTGGAATTCTCGATTCTAGGACATCGCCGATTGCTTCTACCAGTTCAGGGTGCCGGACTACATGGCGCCCTGGTTCGGGATGAAGCCAGTCAGGGCGGGCATGCTGGGCGTGAAGGTCGTGCAGGGCGAGCCCGTCTCGGCGGGCACCTGGCTCTACCCGTGCCTGCGCGTCCTGCCCATGGGGTTCTCGTGGGCCATGAGGTGGGCGCAGCAGGCCCATCGTGAGCTGCTTCGGCGAGCTGGGCCGGGGGGCATCGACAGCGAGTTGGTGGGCCGCCAGCTGGCGCTGGCGCCCTCGGCCACGCCTGTGCCGCGCGTCGTCTACGTGGACAACGAGATCTTTGTGTCGTCGCTGCCCGGGGCCTCGTCCGAGGCCCGCGTGCAGGCCGCCAAGGCGATGGCGGCCGTGGGCTTGCTTCTGCGCGAGGTCGAGGATAGCAAGAACGTCGTGGAGGCGCTGGGCCTGGAGCTGGGCGGCATCAAGCTTCGGGGCCGCCTGGCGTCCTCCAAGCGGTGGAGGCTGGTCCAGGGCACGCGGGCCTTACTCAGGCGCCGGCTGGTGGCGGGCAGGGAGGTGGAGAAGCTGATCGGCCACTTCGCCCATGCCATGCTGCTGAACCGCCTGGCGGTGTGCATCTTCCGCGCAGCCTGCGATTTCGTGCGGAGGCACTGCCGGGCTCCCTGCGTTCTCTGGGAGTCGATGAGGCAGGAGCTGTCCAATGCCATGCATGTGCTGCCGCTGCTCGCGGTGCAATTCGACTTGCCTTGGTCTGGGCTGGTCACCTGCCCTGACGCCACCCTGAGGGGCAACGCGGTGCAGGAGGCCGACTTCCCGACGGCCGAGGTCTCGCAAGTGGGGCGCTGGAGTGAGCGCTGGCGCTTCAAGGTCGAGAGGGCCGGCCGGGCTCGGGATCGGGCTCTAGCCAGCGCGTTGCTGCCTGGCGGGCGGGCTCGAGGCGATCGCAGAAAAAGAAGAGCTCGGTCTGGGTGCTCCTCTCCCCCGTCGAGACTTGCGTGAAACGGACTTGGATAACGAACGCGACATCCCGATAAGCATCAATCATACATTTCCTGAAGTACCAGCAACCTTCATAAGCAATGGCGACTGGAGGACGTTTCAGGCTAGGAGGTATCACAAGAAGGAGGCAATACACATGAAGGAGTCGAGGGCGGTATTATGTAGGTGGAGACGCAAATGCAGGCAAGCAAGACATCATCATAAACATCATCTCTTTCTCTGTGACGACGTGGGCATGGTCTTGAGTTTGGAGTTGTGTCGGGCGGTCTCGGCTCCCGTACTCATGTTGCTCAAGAAGTGGGCCGCGATTTCTTTGGCCACCTTCTCGCGTTCCAGTGTTCGCTGGGTGGCTAGCGAGTTGAATCCCAGCGATGAGCCCAGCCGATGGTTCGAATCGCCTGCTGAGAAGGCGGCTGCAGCTGCGCTGGGAGCCCTCCAGGACCGCGCCGACGGAGAGGAGCCTGAGGCGTGCAGCAGCGCCTTTCGAGCAGGTTGGTGCAGGCGCGCCTGGGCGCCCGCGGCCGGCGGAGCGCCGCCTCCTGAGAGGCAGCTGGCGCGACGGGGCCCGGCGCTCGAGACCGGCAGCGGCCGCGGGCAGAGCGGGTCTGGCCCGGGCTACCTTGACAAGGCTGCAGCGCAATTCATCAACGACATCTCACCGATCCCCTGCGAGGCCGAGAGGCCCCCTGCCGCCGCCAGTGGCAGGTGCGAGGGGGCGTGTGCGAGTTCGAGTTCCTTGCGCTGGCGGTCAGACCGTCCTGGAGCAGGAGAGCGTGACGGCCAAGACGCAGGAGGATAGCGAGAGGAGGCGGGCACTGTTCGACGACTTTTGCAGGACCCACGGCTTGGCGTGCGACGCCGACGCGGAGCTGGAGGAGGCCCTGGTGGATGGACCTGCTGTTGGCGGCGGAGGAGCCCAGCAACAGCGGGGCCAAACTGCGGGCGGCGGTGGGCCACCGTTGGCCGCGCCTCCACCACGCTGGGCGGCTGTTGAAGCTGCCGCGGGTGGCCAAGGCGCTGCAGGGCTGGCGCCGGCTGGTGCCGCTGGTCACGCGGGCTCCGGTGCCGTGGGCGGCCGTCGCGGTGATCGCGATGGCCCTTTTGCGGCGCGGGCAGCCGCGCGCGGCCCTGGCGGTGGTGCTGGCGGCGGACGCGTACCTCAGCCCCGGCGAGCTGCTCTCGCTTCGGGCGAACCACGTGGTGCCGGGCCAGCCGCGGTCGGGCGGCGACTGCCGCTTCGCGTCACCTGTGCTGAGGCCAGAGGAGGAGCTGCAGCCGACGAAGACCAGGGGCTTCAACGACTCGATCCTGCTCGACAGCGAGGCGAGGCCGTACCTGGGCCCCTTGGTGGAGCGCCTGGCGCGGCAGCTGAACTTCGAGGCTGTGCCCCTCTTTCCGTGGTCGGGCGCGGCCTTCGCTGCCGTGTTCAAGAGTGCCGCGGAGGAGGTGGGCCTCGGGGCGTGGGAGCTGACGCCCTACATCCTGCGCCATGCGGGCCCGTCGCGCGACTGGCTGACCAAGGCGCAGAGCCTCGGCGCCATCGAGCGCCGCGGGAGGTGGATCTCCGGCATGAGCGTGTGCAGGTAGGAGAAGAGCTCTCGCGTGATGAGGCGCCTGGCGACGCTCCCTCGCGACCGCCAGCTGCTCCTGAACGAGGCGGCGCGGCAGCTCGAGGCCGGGCTCCGGCTCGGTCGCGCGGCCATGTTCGAGAGCATGCCCCGCGCCGTGGGTCTGCTGTGAAGCCGCTTTTTCTGGAACTTTTTTCAGGCCAGCAGGGCTTTGCTCGTGCCTTGCGCCGCCGAGGCTGGCAGACAGCCACATGGGGCATTCGAGGCCCGGCCAGCCAGGATCTCACCAAGCAGAGAGTAATTCGGCAAGTGCTTAGATTAATCCCCAGAGCACGCTGGGTGCATCTTGGCACGCCTTGCAGCAGGTTCTCAACTGCCAGGCGTGGAAAGCTCGGTTCCCCGGGAGGACCCCTCAGGTCTAAGCAAAGACCGGGGGGCCTCGAGAATTAGTCGGCCGCGGATGCGGCCAAGGTTACCCAGGGAAATCGCCTCATGAAAGTCACTGCTCGCGTCATCAGAATGTGCATCAAGTGCAAAGTGCCTGTATCGGTCGACAATCCCAGTGCCTCTTGGCTGTGGAAGCAGCCCCAGATACCCCCCTGCTCAAGAAAACTCATGATGCGCACGCAGTATATTGCAGATTCGGCACGCCGTGGCGGAGAGCTACGACCATTGCATGCTGGCAGCCCTCTCAGCACTGTGCTCTGGGCCCGCGGCGCGCAGAGTGCAATGGACCGCGTTGCAAGTATACTGGGCGCAAGCATCAAGTTCTGGAGGGCAAAGGGCTTGGAGGGAATCTTTGGACCCTAGTAGCAGAGCCCTATCCTCGTCCACTAGTTGCCTTGTGGGCGGCTTGCGTAGACAGTTGCAAAGAATAATGAAAAGGGCCGCCTCAACCGCCAGGTCGCTAAATATGGGCGGTTTGTGGCAGGTGTGTGCGGCCGGCCTGGCCTTTGTACATTCGCTGCGTTCGATTCGAGATTGCCCGCAGTTGCAGCGAGAATTTCACCTGGCCTGAGAAAAACGGAGCATGTAGCAAGTGTCGAGCAGTGTACAATGCCGAGTGTTCGAGCTGACCGCAGTCGTTTGTGCTCAAGCGGTTTTTCGAGCCCGATGCCTCACCCCTTCGCGCCCTCTCAGCGTGCCACAGGGCACTTCGCTTAAGCAGTTCTGTTTGCAGCAGGTGTGTGCGGCCGGCCTGGCCTTTGTACATTCGCTGCGTTCGATTCGAGATTGCCCGCAGCTGCAGCGATCATTTCAATTGGCCTGAGAAAAAGCGGAGCTTCCTTCTCCTCCTCCTCCTCCTCCTTCTCTCCTCCTTTTCCTCCTCCTTCTCCTCCTCGCTCTCATCCTCCTCTCTTCCCTTTCCTCCTTCTCCTCCTCCTCCTCCCTCTCCTCCTCCTTCTCCTCCTCCACCTCCTCCTCGGGGAGGGGCTTGCGCAGCTGCCATGCTGTGCCAGAAACGTGTGCGGGAGAGACAGGCAGAGCGACAGGGCAAGCGATAGCAATGGAGACAGGCTCTTGTGCAGGAGAGGCCCTTTCCCGGAGCACGGAGCAACACCGTCTGCGAAGAAACCCAGACTTGGGAAGCATGCTCGCCCCGCCTCTCGGGCGGTGCGCCTCCTCCGCCTCCTCTTCTGTTTTGAATTCAAGAGCCGGTCTTCTTGTTTGGATTCGAAGACCAGCCTCTTCCTTTTTGAATATTTAAAAACCCTCCTCTTCCTTTTTGGCTTCAAAAGCCAAGCTCCTCATCCTCCTGCATCTAGACTTTCAAGTCGCTTGGTGGGTCGCACGTGTCCGCATGCTGTTGGATTGTGTGTGTCTGGGTCGAGTACCTCGACCTTCGGCCCGACACCGTATCGCCGCCGCCGCCGCCGCCTTCTGCACCTCCCCCCTCCTCCCTCCTCCCTCCTCCCGCCCCTCCTGCCTCCTCCTGCTTCTTTCCCCCCCCCACCCCACAGTGTATCATCCCCGCGTGCCTTTGGCACTCCGGAGCCCACAGGGCCTCGGCGCCGGGCGCACCGTCGAGCCGTTGCAGGTTTCCTCAAGTGGAAGTGTGCGCCCGTGCTCGCGCCAGGCCCCGGTGCAGCGGGCGTGCGGCCGGTGCCGCCCTCTTCGGCAACGATAGGGGGGATGGTCACAGGGGGGCATATGCACCAGCCTCAGACGTCAGAGGAGGAAAAGGGTACCCAAGCTGCTGCCTTGGTTGCCACCGCTGGATTCGCCTCGAAATTCTGGTCAGAACGCACCCCCAGAGAGGTCCGGGGAGCAGCGGTATCGGTACCTCTTGGTTTCCCCATAAAGGGGGAGATGCATCCACCTCAAAGGCTTGCTGCATCGACGAGGCGTCGGCGATGCATCGCTGATATCAGGGCGACCTATCGACGAAGCATCGGGCGGTCTGCATCGACGGTTTATCGAGGATGCGTGGGCGTTGCATCGGCCGTTCGAGGTCGATACGTTCCCCTTTTATGCCTATCCCCCCACTATCGCTGCCCCTCCGCGCCCGCTGTCGTGCGCGGCGGTGGGCGCCTCGATGCCTCCGTCGAGGGGCGCAGTGCCCTCCTCCGTCGGGGAGGGGAAGTGTACCCCCAGATCCCCGGCGTGTTTTTTGTTGTTTGTTGTCTCATTTTTTTTTTTTTTAGTTTGTTTGTTCTGTGATGTTTTTTATTATCGTTCTTTTCGATCCTGTCGTTTCTCATCGATCTCGGCGCGGCCCGAGGAAGATTAAAATTGTCCAAAAATAGTGCGGGGATTATCTTTTGTTTGATTTTTTGAACATTTTGGAGTATTTTGTGGACTATTTCCCCACATGCTTCGTGGGGTTCTGGTTTTCTTCCCACCCGCGCCGCACCCGCGTCTCACCCACACCCGCCCTCCTCCCCTCCCCCTCCTCCTCCCCCTCCTCCTCACGCACACAGCACAGCGCAGCGCAGCGCAGCGCAGCACAGCACAGCACAGCACAGCACAGCACAGCACAGCACATCACAGCGCAGCGCAGCGCACACAGCACAGCACAGCACAGCACAGCACACACACACACACACGGCTTGACACGTGCGGCACATTCTCGATGCCATAGGGGTCGTCCACGGCACAGCAGGCGTGGCAGTTTTGCACAGCACACCTGCACAGCACAGCACAGCATAGCACAGTACAGCACACCGCAGCACAGCACGGCACGGCACAGCACAGCACATCGCAGCACAGCTCAGCACAGCATAGCACACAGGGCAGGCGCGCAGGGCACGGCACGGCAGAGCGTGGCTCCAGCAAAAGTCAGGGGAAGGGGGTGGTCTCTCAGCTCGGCTTGTGGCAGAGCTAGGCAGGGGGTGGTCTCTCAGCTCGGCCGCTATCCACGACACTGGCGCAAAGGCTAGCAGGCGTGGCATTTTCTCGACACCACAGGGGGTGCGCAGGGGGTGGTCTCTCACCGCGGTCCCTATCCACGACACTGGCGCAAAGGCTAGCAGGCGTGGCACTCTCTCGACACCAAAGGGGGTGGGCAGGGTGTGGTCTCTCAGCTCGGCCGCTATCCACGACACTGGCGCAAAGCCTAGCAGGCGTGACACTTTCTCGACACCACAGGGGGTGCGCAGGGGGTGGTCTCTCACCGCGGTCCCTATCCACGACACTTTCGCAAAAGCTAGCAGGCGTGGCACTTTCTCGACACCACAGGGGGTGCGCAGGGGGTGGTCTCTCAGCTCGGCCGCTATCCACGACACTGGCGCAAAGCCTAGCAGGCGTGGCACTTTCTCGACACCACAGGGGGTGCGCAGGGGGTGGTCTCTCAGCTCGGCCGCTATCCACGACACTGGCGCAAAGCCTAGCAGGCGTGGCACTTTCTCGACACCACAGGGGGTGCGCAGGGGGTGGTCTCTCAGCTCGGCCGCTATCCACGACACTGGCGCAAAGCCTAGCAGGCGTGGCACTTTCTCGACACCACAGGGGGTGCGCAGGGGGTGGTCTCTCAGCTCGGCCGCTATCCACGACACTGGCGCAAAGGCTAGCAGGCGTGGCACTTTCTCGACACCACAGGGGGTGCGACACCACAGGGGGTGGTGGTCTCTCAGCTCGGCCGCTATCCACGACACTGGCGCAAAGGCTAGCAGGCGTGGCACTTTCTCGACACCACAGGGGGTGCGCAGGGGGTGGTCTCTCAGCTCGGCCGCTATCCACGACACTGGCGCAAAGCCTAGCAGGCGTGGCACTTTCTCGACACCACAGGGGGTGCGCAGGGGGTGGTCTCTCAGCTCGGCCGCTATCCACGACACTGGCGCAAAGGCTAGCAGGCGTGGCACTTTCTCGACACCACAGGGGGTGCGCAGGGGGTGGTCTCTCAGCTCGGCCGCTATCCACGACACTGGCGCAAAGCCTAGCAGGCGTGGCACTTTCTCGACACCACAGGGGTGCGCAGGGGGTGGTCTCTCAGCTCGGCCGCTATCCACGACACTGGCGCAAAGCCTAGCAAGCGTGGCACTTTCTCGACACCACAGGGGGTGCGCAGGGGGTGGTCTCTCAGCGCGGTCCCTATCCACGACACTGGCGCAAAGCCTAGCAGGCGTGGCACTTTCTCGACACCACAGGGGGTGCGCAGGGGGTGGTCTCTCAGCTCGGCCGCTATCCACGACACTGTCGCAAAGCCTAGCAGGCGTGGCACTTTCTCGACACCACAGGGGGTGCGCAGGGGGTGGTCTCTCAGCTCGGCCGCTATCCACGACACTGTCGCAAAACCTAGCAGGCGTGGCACTTTCTCGACACCACAGGGGGTGCGCAGGGGGTGGTCTCTCAGCTCGGCCGCTATCCACGACACTGGCGCAAAGCCTAGCAGGCGTGGCACTTTCTCGACACCAAAGGGGGTGGGCAGGGGGTGGTCTCTCAGCTCGGCCGCTATCCACGACACTGGCGCAAAGCTTTGCAGGCGTGGCACTTTCTCGACACCACAGGGGGTGCGGCAGGGGGTGGTCTCTCAGCGGTCCCTATCCACGACACTGGCGCAAACCTAGCAAGCGTCGCACTTTCTCGACACCACAGGGAGTGCGCAGGGGGTGGTCTTTCAGCTCGGTCGCTATCCACGACACTGTCGCAAAGCCTAGCAGGCGTGGCACATTCTCCACACCACAGGGGGTGCGCAGGGGGTGGTCTCTCAGCTCGGCCGCTATCCACGACACT